TGGGGGAAAAAAGTAGATAGGTTGGAAAAGGAGCCCATGTGAACATGAAGCATTTGGAATCGTTTTTAAAGTAACAAGAAATTAACAATGCAAAAATGTTCCTGAGAGTGGGTGTTTGCTCGGTATAGGTAAACTTTGCATACTTTTGCGCATAAATTTCCGCATGCAATTATTGAAAAAATAAGTTTTTTTGATTATAAACCACATTACTTACCACTCAGTCATCTTCATGCGCCTTGTTTATATACTGACGTGATTCGAAAAGCACGGAATTTAACTCTCATTTTGTTAGTAAACAATGTATACGATTTGGTTGATTGACCACCAATTGTGAGTTTAAGTACCAGATGGTGGTGTGTGCCCAACCTGATATATGGATTTAAAATGAGAAAAGCATCTGTCCACACTTGAATGTCGTTAATTACCCTTGCTTTAGTTTTTGGGACCAAGGTGAAGTTACCCTCTTTCATAGAAAAATATTTTGTCTCGTCATTTGGGTCAACCCCATGTGAATTTTCGACCAACAGGCCCAAATTGATGTAGTCGCCATTTACAATTTAAAGTTTTAATCTATTTGGCACTCTGTAGCCTAAATCGTTATCATAATTTGGTGTTAATGCAAAGTAACTATCATTTATAATGTCAGGTTCTGTACCTGCACTCTGTTCCTGTGTGATATTGGTAGCTTGCAGTGGCTCTGTAGGCATGGGGGTCTGCTGGATCTGGTCTCATTCTGCTTGCTACTCAGAATATCTGCGACCGCTTGCGACACTTGTTGCAGCTGTTCGTTAGATAATGACATATTATAGCTTCTGGTTGACCTTGAGCGGGAGGAGTCCCATCATTCCGCTTGGTACGCCTGCTTGGCAAGGGCGTTGGGTCACGCTTCCTTTTTGGCATTATCGTTAGGTGCTCTTTATGCATAGGCGTCGGAACGGGGGGGGGGGGGGCTTAGCCCCCCCCCTCCACTTTTTTTTCAAAGATAGGCATAATATAAGCATTGAAAATTGGGGCTTACCTTTTTTCGTTGGTTTAGCCCCCCCCCCCCCCACTTTCAATTAGCCACCCCGCTTCAGACGCCTAGGTTATGAAATACACAAATGTAAATGTTAAAATTTGACTGACCAAAGAAGAAAACAGTTTGTATTTAGGAAACAATTAATGGAATTTATACTTATATATATGACCATGTGTGCCTAGGCGAACGGAAAATATTGAATCCAATCAAAATCAGAGAATTATTCAAACCATCGACCGTGTTCAAAAAGATAAGTAGCGAGCGAACACAATCTACGACGCTCCACAAGATTAAGACAATAAAAAGAAATTTTACAAAGGACAATGGTGCACGTGAAAAAAAAAATATCAACGCCTAAAAAAAAACACGTTTTACCTCTTGAAATCAACAGTGGCTGTCAGACCCCACTCAGTGAAATTTTGCAGAAACTTAATTTTTTGCGCTTCACGTCACGGGTTTTGGTGCTTAGGTTTGACTAATAACCCCAAAACCCCGAGGTTAGGATGATGCTAATACCAGGGCGGGACCCGAAGGATAACCCCGAACGACAAAATACCATGTATTGAGAAAAAAAACCCAAGCCTAGTGACGTTTTGATAAATGGATTTAACTTTGAGTGGTTAAATCACATTAATGCTGTTTTTTTTCAATGATTTAGCAACCATCAAAGTACAATATTCATCTCGCCCTTCGGGCTCTGTGAATATTGTATTCCTCGAAAAATTAATCATTGTATTGACCTCAGAAACAGCAATAACTTTATAGTATTTCCTAAAACAGTCTGTAAATATATGCATGTATTATCGGTTAAGGATAAATATACATTGAAAATTCAGATAATAATTTCGATAGATGAGAAGGTTTATTATGTACATTGAATAAAGGTACAAATGTCAATATATGAATGATTTAAAAAAAAAAAAAATAAATAAATAAAATACTGTGTCAAGAATCTTGAATTCATCTCAAAGTAGTTTTATGCTATGTTTGTAATACTCATCAAATAGAAGACGAATTCCATTTCATTCGTCAATACCCTAGATATCTAAATTTAAGAAAAAATATATAAATGAATATCATTACAAATCGCCAGGTACATTTAAATTAATCCAATTGTTGGATACAAACCGCATATCTACCTTGGTTGGTTAAGGGAAATATATCCATTACGCTGTAATATTACGTATCGAAGATCTATCGTGTTAACCTAATTTCTATCTGTGTAAGGTTTATATTTTCAGATGTCTGTACATTAAAACAGCATCGCTATATATTGTATTATAACTTTGAATTATGTATCGTACTGCTTTATTCAATATATTATTGTATTGTATACTATAAATGAGTGGAACTATGGGACTGAGGAACACTTGACCAGGGGTTTCACACCCCCCCCCCACCCCCCCCCAATTTATGCTCATTGAGAGTCTTAAATTTTGTAATATATGTTATTATATGTTATTTTTGTAAACTGATGGGCTGTATTGCCCAAAGTTATATATTCTGAATAAACTTAATATACAAATTTACAGAGTTACAGGATTAAAAAGCAGATATTATAATTGTCATTTGTTGCAAAAATTGTCAAATGAGGCATGGGATGAATTATGTTATTGAATGTTTGTTATGACAAAGGTGTCAGTAGCGGAGAATTAAATGCTAAGTTCACTGCTATTATTTACATCAGTTTCATTGTGCTGTCCATGAGTGAAGCATATGAAAAACTAATCCTTGGACTTTACCTTTTTTTTAAAATTCCAGATATCATGAGACAATTTCTAGATTAGCAGTAAATTTACTTTTTAAAGCAAAGCAGACTTTAGTTTATTTCCTATCAAGGGCTAATAGGGAGGGGAGAAAGCATTACAATTGTAGATAAAGATGAAGACAGTGATAAATTATTAGATAAAACAAAATTTCAGGACTTTTTTTTTTGTATGGACAGAACAAGTTGTGTTTTAAAATGTAACATTATGTAATTAAAGAAGTAATTTCTAAGCGAATTAATAAATATAAAAGGTAAGGTTATGACTTTGAAAATTATTTTTAAAAAAACTGGCAATATCGACTTGAATTTTGTCTACCCATTTACGTAAAAGAAATACACAATGAATCAAAATAAAAAGGTGTATGTTTGACTCTATGAATACACAATAAAGTCCAGGCTAGAAAAAAATGAGTAAAATAAAAGCAACCTTCGTTAGATCCTCTTTGTACTTTCAGAATATTTGATTCGATGTAAATACACCTTTTACTTCTTTTTTTTTTTTTTTTTTTTAAAAGGGGATAGCAGAAATTTATTCTTTCCAATATTTCGTCTACCTGATCACGGCGGTTGTGACCGATCGACAGTGGATGCTTACTTCTTCTAGACACCTTATCCCACCTCTGGAATTTCAAAGGTTCCATGTTTTATGCCCTGTTCAGAGATTTGTATTATTTGAAAGGTGTTTTTTTTTTTTTTTTTTTTTTTTTTTTTTTTTTTTTTTTGTAGGTCAATTCTTTAGTTTTACCTTTTTCATTTCAATGTTCTTATTTTATTCCATTCATTCCAATCCATTCAAAATTCTAACAAATATATTGAAGCTGTTGGAAAAAACTTCGATTGGTTGGTTGATTAGATGTTTTACTTTCCATTCGAAAATTTTTCGCTCATATAGAGACGTCACCATTTACCGGTGAAAGGCTTCAAATTTAGACCTATACTCGGCACTAAGAGTCATTTAGCAGTGAGGGATATTTGTAGTGCCAAAGCCTGCCGTGACACGGGGTCTCCGTTTTTAAGGTTTCCCTCGATTGACCCGCAACTTTTACTTCAAAGTTCCAAGCGCTTGGCGAAGGAAGAGTTGTTACCTATTTTTTATCGACCTAGGTCAGTTGACGCCGGGGTTTGAACCCAAGACCTTCATGGATGAAGCTACCGTGACGGAGGGAAAACTTTGAAATTTATCAACCAAAACACGCATTCATATAAGTGTGCAAAAATATTATAAACAGGATAGAGACACTTTTGATTTCTTTTGGAATATAGAGTATTTATAGTTGAGAAATTGCAAGGTATGCAAGAAATCGAAGATATTTTAGAATGTAACGATACAGAAAAAAATCAGATCAACACATAGGGCTCACGTCGGATGAGACCGGTCGACAGGGGATGTTTACTCCTCTTAGGCACCTGATCTCACCTCTTGAATTTCCGGGGGTCTATGTACTATGCCTTGTTCACAGATTTGTATTGATTGTAGGATTTTAGATATCGATCACTGTTCTTTATTTTCACTTCATATTTGCTAATGATATTGTTTTCTTCTAAAACAACATCTATGATATGAGTTGAAGAGATTTCGTATGAAGATAGTAGTGCGATAATTTTAAGATTTCATAAAATAAACTCTACTTCATACAGATAATTATTTTTATATGCATCTACATGTATGTTGTTTGTTCAAAAAACACCTTGAAATATTTTCTGGTTTAATTCAAGAACATTCTGAATAATTTTCTTTATGGGATGAGTCACGTGCATATTTGCAGTGGCTATCTTTATGACCATAATAATGTGCGATGTTTCATTAGACAATGCACTTTATCAGCATTTTATTAGTCCTAGCAGCTACATGTAACATGGGTACCGATTTATGCTGGGAGTGAACCGGGGAGGGGGGGGGGGAATGAATGAGCCTCATGGCTTGGAGAAGGTTCTAACTTACTAGTATTAACAATTTTTTTGCAGTTTACCATTGTTCCCTCCATACAAAGCCGGGGGAGACAGTACCTTAAAAGGTCAGGATTTTGACAGTGGCATGACTGTCATAACAAATAGCTTAACACCAACGGTTGCAACCGATCGTTATTATATTTTGACAATTTTGTCACCCAATGCTGTAATATTCATGGTTATAAAATGGGCCCTAATCATACAAACACAATTAATTTGAAAACTATTGGATATATAGGTGTGTTCAATATAAGTGTGCTCAATATGTCCTCTATCATGGAGAGAAAGGTAAGATAATTATGATTTGTTTCCAAACCCTCTGATATCTTAACATATACCTAAGTTTATGCGTATTAATGGTTTTAAAATCAAAGGTATTCCACATCATAAAGAAAGATGCGTTCTTTTTCAATAAATTTTTAAAAAAAATGGTTAGGAAAATTGTGAAACGATAGCGCTGGCATTATTGACCTTTATTTTGTCTTATTTTATTAACATTAAAAATAATATACAATGAGTCATAATAAGAAAGAATAATAATAATAACAATATAATAACAATGCGTCATTATAAGAAAGATGTACATGTATGTTTGGCCATCGATATTTATAATTCAGGTTAAAAGAGAAACAAGTACAAAAAAATTCTAGTTCGTTATTCTGTGTATTTTCAGAGTCTTGATTCGATGTAAATATACCTGTAATTTTTTTTACTTTTGAAAAAGTGGACGGGAAGAGTCATATTCCATCCAGTTTTAATATTCATGTTTAATTATCTCATTTTTCATTCAAAATACTTAGTTACATATTCTTTTAAATATATTTAAATTTAAAAAAAAATATTTTGAAGTTACTCAACAGAAAAATGGAATCGTATAAGAGTAAAAAAAAAAGCAATGAATATAAATAGAGACACCATTTATTTCTTTAGGAATATAGAGTATCGTTAGTTGAACAATTACAAGGTATGAAAGAAGCAGAAGATATTTGTAATGCAACAATACAAAAACACGGCCCAACTACAGGTAAGATTATTTATCTTACATCTTATTACGAATTTGGAAAGATTTTTGCCGTATTTTGTTCTGTGTGCACGATTTCTCTTTTCAACGGGTTTGAGTGAGATTTTAAAAAGGAAAAGTTTTAAGTTACGGAAGATTTTGATATTTGCAGATCCATCAAAAAATAAGAATTAAAATTTAACTTTTTTAGTTTTCCATACTAGCCATCTGTTTTCAATATATCTTACAAATCTGTACCTCCGAAGAATATTTTTTTTGGGAGAAAATATACTTTGAAATATCAACCAGATATGATTTTAATTCATAAAACATATTTATTCATAAATTTAGAAACTAGTTGAATGAATATTACAATTATAACATCTTATATCTCAATGGACTTCATATTCTTATAAATATAATTTAAAGTGAAGTCATGTATACAACACACAATTTTGTCAAACACTACAAAACGGATATCTGGTTTTATAAAATGAGTCCCAGACATATGAAATAAATTTTAAAATAAACGTGACTTTAAAAACAAGTCTGTGAAGTATTCGAGGTGTCTCAGTTGAAAACATAACTGAAGAATAATACGAGGGGTGATCAGAAAGTTCGCCAACTAATTGAATTACTTCCATAAAAGAAATAAAGTTAGTTTTCAGTGTTTACTATTTTTTAAAAATAGTCCTCTCCGATTTTAATGCACATATGCCACCGTTCTGCCCATGCGCAAATCACGTGATCCAGGCGATCACGTGACATGCTACGTAGCGTTCTGTTTACAGAAGCTAAAAGATTTTTCCGAGTCTTATATTTCTTACCATGCAATTTATTTTTTATAACAAGAACAGTCCCTTTGTCAGAAATATCCAAATCTCGGCAATAGGATGGGTGGATAAGTATATCCTTTACCAGAATGAGCATGGTGACCATCAAAACCCGAGTCCTCTGTCTTGGGAGCGTCATTTTTTCAATGTGGATAAAATAAAGGCGTTTTCTATTTATCATGTCTGATATGTTTAGAGTCTAAAGTAAACGATATTTTAGGGATTTGATAATTATTTGATTGTTAAAATATTCAACCATTTTTCTAACTGTCATATACCGATCTTTCGTAACAAATTGCTCAACTACGGACACATCTCTTCCACAGCTTGCTTTCACTGGGCAACAGAACAAACATCATTTTTAACCATCTCCCTTCCTTCACCAAAACAATAAATCCAATGAATGATTGAATTTCTGGCAAGTCTTTTGTCTTCATAAACCTTGTACAAATTATTAAAAGCTACAGATAAGGAATTTCCAAGATGTACGTCAAATTTTACAGCCGTTCGTTGCTCGAGTACGACTGAGTCAACCATTTCTTGTCACAAGTTATCTACATATTGATGTCATTTTCACATTTTTCACATTCACAAACATGAAGTAAAACATTACATATCACCTGCTATGTAAAGAACGTTTGTATGACTATATGTGTGCCAAATTTCATTCTGATCTGAATTGCAGTTTTGTAAATTTAGAGATAGTTCCCGAACTTTTTGATCACCGCTCGTAAATGTCTGCTGACAAATAACTCAAAATTTTTATAGTTTTATGATACATGTACTTTTTTCATATTTCGATTTTTATGTATTAGAATTCATTTATTCTTATAATTTTTTTCCTTGTGGACTTCAGTTTATTATTATTAATATAAATATCTTTCTTCTCGTTTTTTTTTTTAAACATTTTGTTTATTTCAGTATTTCACTGTAGTACTAATACTAATACAATATTGGGAAAAAAATCATCAAGTTTCAAATGAAATACATTTTTAAACTTTATCCTTATGTATTTACATAATGAAAAAGACAAGATTGATGTGGATAAATTAAGTTGACTTCTTTTCATCACAGACCTACTATGTCCTCCTGTGTGGGATCATATAATGTGTTGGAGGTCTGCAAAAGCAGGGACAACCGTGTCAGCTCCGTGCCCTAGTTATATAGACAGATTCCTCGTCAATGGTTAGCACAGATTTAAATACTAATGTTCTACTAAATTATATAGCGTATTTGTATCCATTGATCAATGATAAGAATCAGAATTACTAATTTTTAAATGCAAATGTTCTACATCTTATAATTATCCGTGTGTCAAAGATCAGGTCCAAAGACCATAAGCTAAATACAGACTTGTAAAAGTAAAATTTTCGATTTTGAATATTTCATTTTTATTTAATCATTATATTGGGGAAAAAATGTAATATTCAAATGTAAACACGTGATGATTTCAGAATTAAACTAATTTGAATTTGACTTTAAAAGCCTGATCTCAGTTTATGATCCTGGAAAACCAGAGATACTTGAAGTTCGACAAATATATAATAGAGAATCCCAATCTTTTAGCTGTGTATCGGTAATTACGACCTACAGGCACATTTTAATAACTCACTTTCGCCAAAGCTTAAGTAAGACCCCTTAAAAATTCAGATTCTTGTAATTTACTCCAAGCTGATTTAAAGCAAAATCAAAATAGATACTAGACAAGTTTATATAGCCATTTCTCATTTCTATGGTTTCAGATAAATGTAGATTTTTCCTAAGAATAATAAAAATAAAATTATCATTCTGTGCATTATAGGGGTAAAATTGCGAAATAAAATAATCTGTTCATTTTAGGTGTTGCGAAAAGGACATGCACGATTGATGGTACGTGGTACATAAATCCACATACGAACAGCACATGGACAAACTTCACTTATTGTATGGAAAGTGAAAATAGTCGAAACTTATTAAAAGTACGTTCATGTATTATGTACTGGATACTTTCAAGAAAATCACGCATTATATTTTTTGTTTAGCCCACGAAGAAATCTCTATGATAATGGGGCCGATGATCAGTACAACATTTCTTACCTTAATCTGAATTCTCTCCACGCCAGAAGATGCATAAGGACGTAACGCTCTCTTTCCATTGCTCTTCATCACTAGCTGCTGGTAGTATTTCAGCTTGGCCAACCAGCTGCATTCCAAATAAGCTTCATTACTATACAGTCATTAATTGATACATGCTATACATACTTTTGCAAATGAAGTGCATAGATAATGAATAGAAATTATGCTGAATAGTCGATTTAAACAACACAAATTGTAAGTAGAGCCAAAACAGACCTCTGAAAACAGGTTGGATCAATAGCCATAGAGGAGTAAGCATCCCCTATCGACCGATCAAACCCACCGTGTGCTCTCGCCATACGATAAACGGGGCTAAAAATCCGTAGATCAGTGAAACAAAGTAACTTTGTTAACAGTTTATAGTTTTATGAATTATGCATGCAAAAATTATTCCGAACGATTTTTCTTCAAAAGGGATTTGATAACCACGGTAGCTAAGTCGGTAGAGCGCTCGCTCCGTGATAGAAAGGTAATGTGTTCGAATCACGGCCGCGACTGACCTATAAGTTGATAAAAAATAGGTAGCAACTGTTCCTTCGCCAAGCACTCGGCACTTTGAAGTGAAAGTTGCGGGTCCTTCGGGTGAGACCTTAAAACCAAGGTCCCGTGTCACAGTAGGCCTTGGCACGATAAAGAACCCTCACTGCTCAATGGCCCTAAGTGCCGAGTAAAGGTCTAAATTTGAAGCCATTCACCGGTATATGGTGACGTCTCTATACGAGTGAAAAATTATTCTCGAACGGGACGTAAAACAACATACAACCGATCTATAGGGATTTGAAATCGAGAGAGAGAGAGAGAGCTCTAGACTTTAAAAATTACATGTATCGGTATTTGTAAGCTTTGTTAAAGATGACAATGCATAATATCTATTATGATTTCTATTCTGTTGCATGCTTTCAAATTTATTAAAAATTAATGTTCACGTTATTTCTTTTCAGAAAAATCTAAATCATATACAGACTATTTCTTTGGCAGGCTATACGCTTTCTATCGTATCCCTTATTATTGCGGTGATCATGCTTCTAAGACACAGACACAGGTGAATATTCAAGTAATTAAGGCCACTAGCCTCAATTCATGAAAATAGATCCAAAGTAAAATTTAATTAATATTTAAGTAAAATAAATGACTTTAGCAAATAATATTTTATTCAAATTTCTGACTCAAGTCCTTAAAAGTGAATAAAACATATGGATTTATAAGGGTAAGGTGAAAATCTAGAATATCATAGAAATAAATGATATTCAATGCTGTGTACCTTGATATGGAACTTATTTAACGCATGGGACAGCAGTCTTAAAATATATTTTGTTGAATGCAAAGCACTGTGAAAATATCCTTTTTGATATATTCTCTGTGAAAATATCATTTGAATTCAATGGTTAAATTACAATATTTAACAGTTGAAAAATATAATAAACATACATGTTTACATTTAAATATTGTTTATTGAATAATAAGAAATGCAATATATTTAAATAACTAAGATATAATAAAACAATTCATATTTCAGCATAGGCTCTAATCGACCGCGGTCGAAGATAACCACTCTACATTTAAACTTGTTCATCGCTTACGGCCTAAGATACATCACATCACTTTTGATGGAACACGTATTTTCCAGCAGCACCATTAAACAACAGGCAGGGGAGATCACTGAATTGCAGATTCAAAACTCGGTCAGTAATGACAAGGACACTATATCATTAATATGGTTTTTATATGACATGCGTTGTGCATGTTACAGGTTTATACGAAACCAAACAACGAGAAATACTTGTTGGTAGGTTTGTTAGTAGGGATGTCAGTTAACTGTAGATATGGATTAATAATTAGGAAAAAAGTGTGCACAATTGCAAAAATGAAAAAAGGTGAAAATAACTAACAGTAATCGCACTACGAATCCTGAACCGGTCAAAAACAAGAATCCCTAGAAACACCAGGGGATCAGGTGCTTACGAAGAGTAAGCAGTCACGGTCACCGATCATACCCGCCAGGAGACTTCTGTACTTATGGGGTAAACGGAGCAATTCGTAGTCAAAATGGTAAAGAACCAATTGCCTAACAATTGTTGGGAATATCAGTCAAAATATGTGTTCAAACAAGGTCATTATATCAACCATGGAATTTGATTTATTTAACTGACTGGTTGAACTGACTTTAAAAGAGAGATGGTTGAAACCCCTGTAACATCAACGTATTTGTCAGTAGCCTGTCTCGGTGTAAAAAATTGATCGTACTCAGGGCATGTTCTTCAGTGTCAAATCAGTTGGAAGACATCAACGTCATCTGCAGGTGATCGTGAATATGTGGAATATTACTACATAGTTAGGGACATTTGACCATGGAAAAGGTGGTTATCCTGTTTGTCGTATAGTAAGATGTTATTTGGCCATTATGATCATCTGTCTGTCTCTCTCTCTCTCTCTCTCTGGGAGGTAGTATTTGTAAGATAAGTATTACGTGTAAATATGTATTTGTAGCATTGGGGGTGTAAGCTGACCATGACGTCTTTTGTGTACACTCTACTAGCCAGCACTGTGTGGCTTAGTGTTGATGCTTCTGTCCTCGTGTGGATGATCTGTTGCAACCCGTTGTATTTTCAAAAACGAAACAACATTTTCCCTCATCTTTTAATAGGATGGGGTAAGAAAAGACGTGACATCACCTTTGCTCATTGTTTTTATTTATGCATATTTCTATATCTCTTCATATCTTAAAAAACAATGTATTTCAATATCATAGCTTTTCTGGCTTTTATTTAATATTATCTTCAAATGTCTTTAACATAAATAAATTTCATACATACATGGTTTACGTTTAGAAATGAATTACATTTTGCATTATGTACCTATTTCTTTTTACGTAGTTGTTTAATAAACTAAAAAAATATTGTAGGGTGTACTATTTATTGATATATTTTTTGCTTTGATTGGAAGGACAATATCTGTCAGAAACACTTTTTCTTGCACTAGTGTTATACTTGATTATTAATTCATTTGTAGGTGGACCTTTGTTTATTGTCATACCTTGGGTTAGTCTGCGGAGTCTCTTAGATGATGAAATGTGAGCCTTTTTTTTTTTTAAATATTCTTCTTTTCTTTGTTTCAAGTAAGATGCTCTTTTCATCGGCATTTCAACATTCAATAATGAGATCCACCGAAAAAGTGATTAAAAGTGTTTTGTTTCTATCGAATTATATGCACGCCAAAGTCTTACCTCATCTTTTTTCTCGACAAAGACTTGACGGAATATATTTTTTATTTCACTTTTTTTGCACACCTGTATGGTGCTGGCTTTTAAAACACAGCAAACGGTTATTTTTCGTGTTAACTTACAGAACTTTTTATATTCTTCTTGAACATTATATTTCCTCAGATCGAATGCTACGTTTATTTGTCATTTGTTTGTTGTTCGTTTTCATTAATGTATTCATGAAGTTGAAATCTCATTTTGCTGACATGTAAATCAGAAATATTTACATCAACTGAATATATTCTTTATATCTTTTGAAAACCGATTGTCGTTAACAATTAATTAACTATAAACAAGTTAGAATTTAAGGGGTATTTAACGCCCATCTTTTTGAAAAAAGTGTTTTCTTCCATCAATGTCAGAAGGGAACCAATTTTACAATGTATTACGTATTTTCACCTACATCATTGAAATAGTATTTAGGCATAAACAATAATATATATTATTCTTTATTTATGCAGGGGTCAACGGATGTAATCATTGCAGAAAAATACATATTCCGCGTAAACGGGTTATGTATTTCTTTCTGCAACGTGGCAACCGTTATCCCTGTATTAACTTACAAAGTAAGCACTTTATTGCTTAGATGAATGCAGATGGATCTTAATGCCAAAAAATAATAATAATAATAATAATAATAAAATTGCTTGCGCCTTTTTTTAGTCATAACCATCAGTCTCAAATCCATAGAATTTATATTATTTTTTCTGTTATCATTTAGTTCTAGTGCGTGTAGATATAATGTTGGTACACGAGTTAGTTATTTAGAAACATATCGATAAATACCACATTAGAATTCATTTTCGTACACAACTCACAACCGCAATAATTTCTCACAACTGCTCGAATAATTTTTGTATTATGCAACAAAGAAAGAGCAATTGTGTTTTGTGTTCAGGAATTTACTTTCAAATCAAAATTAAGAAACTTTAGTAAATTAGTCTACATGTGCGCATAGTTGTTAAATAGACAGAATTTGATGAAGAAAAATTTCAATATTTCATTAGGTCCTTCGGATGAGACCTTATTATAACAAGAGGCCCAAGGGCCTTAACGGTCACCTGAGTATAATACAACAATTTAGAGAATCCATAGAGTATAAAATGAACTGAAAAGTGAAGCTTTGTTGCCCAAAAGCAAGAAAAATAGGGTGATCAGGTTCAACAAAATAATTAGTCTAGTGTTCATTAACAGTTCATAAATTAGGTTCTAATCTGTTCCCCATTTATCACTATCACCATACAGTATATTAACAAACTATCAATGCTTCTGTACTATTTTAATTCCTTGTTGAAATCTCTTACATTGGACTCTCTTGGTCTTTGATGAACATTGAATAAGACAAGTTATTTTTGTCTCATTTTTATTTATCTATTACTTACAAGTCTACCTGATCATTAAAACTATGAAAGTACTTTTTGCATTATACAATAAAAAATCTTGCAAAATTCTCTTATTCTATTAACCTTTCAAGTACATTATTTACAGTGACTAATTATCAAAAGTAAATGGCAAAGGGGAATAACTCCCCTCAGTAGAATACAAATTAATAGAGCCCTGGCCAGGACCAGAACACTTGACAAAATGGCCCAGATGTTCAAAAATATTTATTAAAACTTTTACTCTTTTTGCCTCTGATATGCCCAGGTGCAGAGAAGATTTTCAAAGAAATAATGCAGTTTTTACTACAGATTCACTACATTATCAATAGAGCCCCCCCCCCACCTCCCATCCCCACCGAGAAACACCAGAGTCTCTCACCCTGGGACCAGAAGTTTATTCATCATACATGTAAGTAATCACTTTGTTTATCTGATTAACACTAAGGAGCAGACAGGATTATTTAACAGAATTAATGCATTTTCACTACATTATCAAGAGCCCCACCCTTACACCAGCACATCTGACCCAGGGGTCATGCAATTCACTACTCTGGAAGAAGTAATCATGCTCATCATAACTATACACTTAGCTTCTTTGCTTTTTAACCAGAAGCAGAAAAGAATATTTTCAGAGAAATTTTGCTTTTTCACTATATAATCAATAGAGCCCCCCCCCCCCTTTTCACCAGAACCCTTGACCCTGGGGCCATGAAATTCACAATTTTGGAAGGGGCATACTTGCGTATCATAACAATGTACTAATAGTTTGTTTAAATAATACCCAGGCGCAGAGAAGAAGATTTTTAAAGAAATAATTCACCTTCACTATAGGATATATATGGCCCCGCCCTAGCACCAGAACCCCTGATCCAGGGTCCATGAAATTCACAATTTTGGAAGAGGCATCCTTGCTTATCATAACTATGTATTTAATTTGTTTAAATAATACCCAGGAGTAGAGAAGATTTTTAAAGCATTAATGCATTTTCACTATATGATTTATATAGCCCAGCCCTAGCACCAGAACTCTTGACCCTGCGGCCATGAATTTCACAATTTTGGTAGAGTCACCCTTGCTTATCATAACTATGTATTCAATTTGTTTCAATAATACCCAGGAGTAGAGAAGAAGATTTTCAAAGAAATAATGCACTTTCACTATATGATTTATATAGCCCCGCCCTAACACCAGAACCCCTGCCCCTGGGGCTATGAATTTCACAATTTTGGTAGAGTCACTCTTGTTTATCATAACTATGTATTCAATTTGTTTAAATGATACCCAGGAGTAGAGAAGAAGATTTTCAAAGAAATAATGCACTTTCACTATATGACCTATATAGCCCAGCCCTAGCACCAGAACCCCTGACCCTGGGGCCATGAATTTCACAATTTTGGTAGAGTCACTCTTGCTTATCATAACTATGTATTCAATTTGTTTCAATAATACCCAGGAGTAGAGAAGAAGATTTTCAAAGAAATAATGCACTTTCACTATATGATTTATATAGCCCCGCCCTAACACCAGAACCCCTGACCCTGGGGCCATGAATTTCACAATTTTTGTAAAGTCACTCTTGCTTATCATAAATATGTATTCAATTTTGTTCAATAATACCCAGGGGTAGAGAAGAAGATTTTCAAAGAAATAATGCACTTTCACTATATGATCTATATTGCCCTGCCCTAGCACCAGAACCCCTGACCCTGGGGCCATGAATTTCACAATTTTGGTAGAGGGCTCAATGCTTATTACAATCATGTCAACAGTTTGACTGCTTGATGTCCAGGAGTAAAGAAGAAGATTTTTAAAGATTGCATTAATTTTGGTGGTTTTAGCCCCACCCCTCAGGCCCCAGGGGGGCAGAGACCATGAAATTCACAATTTTTGTCCCCCTTCACCCATAGATGCTATATGCCAAAATTGGCTGAAATTGGTTGAGCGGTTTCAGAGAAGAAGCTGAAAATGTTTAAATGTTAACGCACGACGGACGACGCACGACGACGGACAAAAACGGATAGCAATAGGTCACCTGAGTGACTCAGGTGACCTAAAAACCGAGGCCCCGTGTCACAGTAGGCCTTGGCACGATAAAGATCTCTCACTGCTCAAAGGCCCTGAGTGCCGAATATAGATCTAAATTTGAAGCCCTTCACCGGTATATGGTGACATGTCTATATGAGTGAAAAAATTCTCGATTGGGACGTAAAACAACATACAATCAATTAATATTTCATTTTTTTCATTTATTTTTACAGGTGTTGGATGACGATCGATATAAACAACTATGAGTCTTGGGAGGCATGGTTGTTCTTAGGCCCCGTACTTATTATTAATTCGGTGAGAAAATACTTTGTCAACTGATAAATTTAAGTTGTTTTTAAGAAGCTTTAAAAACTTCTATTTATGGACTTTGAAAAATCATATTTATCTCATTTGCTGTTAACATAAGGTATCTGACATTTGTCGCCAATAGAAATATTCAAAGACAAGTATAAGCGAACAGTATACATTTATTGACTGGGTTCGAGGGCAACAGCGTTTTTTCGGACTCAAAAACCAAACTGTTTGCATGAAGCCGTTAGGCCGAAGGCACACCGTTTGGGTTCGAGGGGTCGACAAAACGCATTTTGTCCGAGAATCCAGTCAATAAATGTTTTGTTAAACCTTTTATTTATTTATTTGTTTTGTTTTGTTTTTTGTTTGTTTGTTTGTTTTTTGTTTTTTTTTTTGTTATACATACATCTTTTGCTGGCTTCCATAATAACGAAATAACGACTGCAAATAAGATTTAGCTGATCCCGTCCTCAGTGTGACATGAGCGGTCAGAGGTCCAATATCTCACTCTGCGGTCAAACATCGATTTTTTAATGGCCGCTCAGTAAAGCATTAGAATTTTTTGAATTTTTTAGTATGAATTTATATAGGAACTAATTTTTAAAGTATAACAATGTTCATTGTTGTAAAGTATTTCATTAGAATCCCGTAACTTACTCTAACTGCATAGGTAAAGAACTCTTCATTGAATAGTGTTTAGAGCTAACTTTGAATATAGAAATGTAAATGTCCGGAAGATCTTTTATTAATTCAAATCAAAATATTTTTAGGTAAACATCGTTTATTTATTCCTGATAGGCAGGTTTGTCAGAAAGAACCACATGATGAAGAAAACTAGCAGCAACTCCACAGAACTGTAAGTATTTATGATGAAAATATATAGAAATGAAGCCAGTATATTAAATTAACAATGCAAATCCTTCAAGAATACTTAAAGAGAGAGAGAGAGCAGATAAAATGGTGATGATTTTTTAAATGTTGATAGGAAATGTCATCCAGTTTCTTAGCTATTTCTTAAAGAAATATTTCATTTTAAAGTATCCTAGCAACACAATATACTTAACTTATATTAAAGCCGATTTCATACCTTTTTGAAAACATTAAATATTTAGGGCACAATAAAGCCCAAACCGTACCTTCTCCTTACAAGAGATCGGGTTTATCTCGTCTTCTTCGATCACCTATTTAATGAAAAATAATCACAAATAATTTATATTACCTCAATTGCACAGTAACAAATGTACACTGAAATAGATTTCAAGATTTTACATGATCTATAAAAGAATTTCACTGAATCTAGCTTAAGAATAATATTTATGAGAAAAATGTACAAAACTATATTACAAATGTGCTGAGAAATACGAATTAAATATTAATCTGCACGTATATATAAGGATTATCTGTTAATGTATTTCCTCAAATGATAATTGCTTATTCTCGTAGGAGATGCCGAAGTCACTGGACTGGACTCGCTCCCTTATCTTTTCATTGATAAATTTTATTTCTTGACTTAGTGAATGCAAGTTTAAAACAATGTTATAACTGATTATATATTGATATATTCGAAGATTCAGAAGACATTACAGTAGGCCAAAAGAACACACCATTACCACAATACTGTAAGTTTTTAAGTTCTCCTTTGCGATTACATCACAGAAAGCAAAACCAGTAATAGTTACGATAAAAGGCTTGTAAAATGTCATATTCTTTACAGAAACACAGCGAGGCTTGTCTGTATCCTCATTCCTTTACTTGGAGTCCCTGATATTATCCTCACAATTTTGTCATTTTGGCCAAATATCCACTACTTGTACGCTGATATGATTTTCAGTTCGTTCCAGGTCAGTTACTTTATGATATATGAATTTGCACTTTGTTGCACTTTATTTGTGTTGCCTTTATCTCAGGTGTTACTATTCCTAGGGACATGTTCCCGCCTCTGGAATTTCCAGAGGTGCGTGATTTATGCCCTGTTAACAGATTTTGTATTGTTTGAAGGTTTTTTAGATTGACCAAGATTCGTTATCTTCACTTTTTCATGCTACCTGTTCAAGTGTCTAATTGCAAAGCACCAATGATATTATAGTTATGGTTGTATCATCGATGTATCTTATAACCTTTAGGTAACATTCGTTTTCAAATCAATGAACTTATACCATAATTCAAACTATGTCTTTACCATGTCTTGTTAAATACAAATAGAGTATACATTAAAACTGTCATTCAAATTGCTGTTTTCAAAGTTTAATAGGTCTTCTAAAAGACACAAATGGCAACAAAGCATTAACTGACAGAAACAAAAGAATGTATTCAAATGGGAGACAAATCAAAGATACTTCTAGTTTAAACAAATGTATTGCAAATGATCCTTTTTGATTTTAAAAGTGTCAATTGACCATTATCTTAATATTATTTTTCAGGGTTTTATGTTAGCCGTTAGTCTATGTTTATCGGAAAGAAAGGTATGGATTTTTCTGTTGTATACTAAAGCAGATTGTAATAAAGCCACTCGCTCATTATTCCTAAGAATAGCATAGAACAAAATTTCTGTTTAATACTTAAAATACCTTTTCATGATTTGATAAAAGTAAAAATCGTTTTGAATTCACTTTTCATATACATAATGTATATGCTAAATCGAAAAAAAAAGATCAATATTGTTATTAATTTGTTTTCATTATTCATATTACAGGCTGTCCAAGATTTTAGAAGCATTGCTTTACCTTGCAGAAAATTAACAAGGAGGGTGTCCAGAACATCCTCTACTGGGGAAAACACGAGCGTTAATACTTAAAAAATAAGATATCATTTTTAGAGTTTTATTGGGGTATGACATGAAGTCGGTCACGTGGGATCAAATTTTATAACGCCCGAAGGTATTGTTTTAATAAGTAGATGCTAGCAGATGAAACACTCTTAAAAATACCTTTAAAAAAAACTGCTAAAATGTTTGCTATTACAGGGGGAAATGATATAAAGTACGAGGCCCATGGACCACAAAGCTCACTTAAATAATTTTAGCCCTTCTGATCTTAAGATTTTCAAAAGATTTCTCTCCTTTATATATATTTCATTGAAAAAAATTGTGACACCATATTATAACCTCATCCTAACTTTAAGGGTATTTGAATCAACAAAACGTACGGATGCTACAATATCAGTATGACTAAATTGTGGCCCTGCATTTAATTCTTTTCATGTATACACGCATTTTGTAAAATTTGAACATAATTTAAGCCAACTCTAATCCAGGGTCTATAATTGGAAAAAAATGAATCCACTCAACTTGGAAATGTCTGCAAATTAATGGTTCTATTATAGTTCTTGAGAGGATTTTTTTAATTTTGTTTCTTATATAGTCCAATGTTAAACTTTGATCTGTGCTGTGGCTTTGTCCTACCCCTGGGCAGGATTAGAACAATTTAGAATCTACACAATGTATGGAAACGTTTGAAAACTTGGTGAAAAGAAGACAAAGCTTACATACTAGTAATAAAATGTCTTAATTGTTGAACATAATGTGTCAAAAACGTATTGTCTAATTGTTGCTATAAATAATTATATTTAGCGAGGGGTTGCCATGAAAACAATAAATAATGCAACAATCTCATTTTTGTTCTTCTCACTGTTAATATTTTGAAAAAGAAGACTGGAAATCACATAAACCATGATCATATCAATGTTTTATTGCTCATGCACGTGTCATATAAGCAAACTTTCGTCAGAAAGACAAGTCAAAGATGGACAAAGATGGATCTCTGTTTCCATATCAGATACAAAATAAAGAAATTTATATATTTGTACATTGATACTTGTCTGACTCGACATGTACGTAGACATAAATTTTGTGAGTCAATAGGGTCTCGGATTGCATATAGTTTTAAGAATGTCGGAAATAAAAATGTGGGAATACAAATAAAGGTAGAAATTCACGGTGAAACGGATAGAACAGGTGTCGGATTAGACAGTGTCTACTATAAAAACAACAGACACTAGTATGTTTTGTATACTTCTTTAAAAAAACCTTATTTTTCGTCCTTGCCTTAGTTTGTTATGGTCAGTCACAATAATCGTAGACGTGATTTGTGTAGTACATGCAAATTATACCTATATACTAGAACTGACAACTAGAAAACGTATCTCTACTTACATAATTACATTGTGCGAGTACTTTTTATAAGATTATAACTGCAATAGTTTCAATATATACGCCAACTTATAAAAGTGCAAAGTATGAGAGACTGGCTATAACAAATTCACAACAGGAAACTCTTGAGTGTCTTTAATATATAATTCAGCCTAAACGGACGTTTAGAATCTTCCCTGTATGTGTTCCAAAATATAGAAGGGTTTACAGTTAAAACGACTAAAGTTAGGGTATATGATATTTTAGAAAAATGCTGAGGAAAACATGGAGGCATGTAAATGAACCTTATTTTCAAAAGTAACCATCTCTTTTGGTGAAGCAAAGGTAAGATTAAAGTTAAAGCCACTTTTATTTTAATTAAATAGTTATACAATGAATTTAAATTGAAATGTCTTTATATTTTTTCCTTGCTGGGTTTCCTTAACAACAGTAAGAATTTTATAAAATATATAACTTTTCCTTCGTTTTAAAAAAATCAATTATCAGCAGATTCTATATTTTAATCTTCGTTAGAAAAGCAAATGGAAGCAACATTATGCACCATATTTTAATGTTTTCTTTACCTTTTTATTATCTTAAAGCCATGAAAATTGAACAAAGATCGGGAAGTATATTACGTTTTCTTCATATCTTTGGTCCGTCCGATTTTATTTTGTCTTGATTTCAAAGCATATTTTGTCAGGTGGCACAGGTACCAGTATCTTGTCACTTTATATATATATGGCGTACTTTGACGTATGGTCACATGAACAAAGTATGTTGAAAAATATAATTATTCCAATCCTCGTTGGTGGAAAGTGTAAAATCTGTTTCAAGGCTTTGTAAAAATGTAAAGTGGGTCGTAAAGTCTGTACATAAGAATACAATATAAACATTTCAAATTGCTTCTTGTGAGTTCCATAATTATGAATTCCATTTGAGAAGTTGCTGTTTCAGATGTCTTATGCCAAGATATACAACTGTAGCTTGTTAAATAATAAAAGAAAATAGGCGTTAGAAATGCCTTGCTTTAATTCCATAATATTCAGACTCAATTTTTGAACATTAATTTTATACAATGTTTTTATTTTTTTTTTAAATAAAAATGTCATTTTATGGGCAAAAAGGAAGGGAAATTTTTACATCTAGAATGTTTCCCTCTGAAATATGAATATTAAATTTTCCCTCATCATCACACACTGCATATACTGATTAAGAGTGATAAATAAAATAAAATTTGAATCAAACAAGGTATTGCATGCCTTTTCAATTTACAGTTATGTATTTTTTGAATATCAAAAAGAAGGAAAATTTCCATTTTCATCTCTTTACCATTCTGTAAAAAGGAAAAAAAATTACTTTGTTTTTGGTTCTGGGTTTTAGAAAGATTTTGTTTTTTTCAAAATTTTATCCTACGCAAAGGTTAAGGAATGTAATCAACTGATGACATTTTAGAATGTTTCCTTATCTCAACTCTTAAAATGATAATAAATCAAATTTAAATGCGAGAGGATAAAGAAAGGAACACATTCCTAAATGCAAATTAACATAAAAAAAATAAAATTTCCTTTTTTTTATTACATGAAGTTCATTTTACTTAAACATTCCCAACCTTTACATCTATCTAAAAAGGATCAGAAGATTTTCCTTATCACCCTAAAAATTTACTATAATTAACTATAGGTTACTATAGTTAACAATAGTAAATACTTTGATTTACTATGGAACTTTTGTGAGATTTCGATGCTTAAAACCTCTTAAATTTAATACCAACGAGGTAAAATTTGGAAATAAAATGTGAATATACAAGCAATACTTCTATTTAATATCAAGAAAGTGCGGGTATGAATTTGAGAACATAAACTATAACAACCTGAAATCCATTGTAAAAATAATTTGATTTACTATAGTAAAAACTTCGATTTACTATAGTAAACAATAGTTACTGTAGTAAAGTATAGTTAACTATAGAATTTTTTTGTTAGGAAATTTACAAAGATCACAATAAAACCCAATTATAATAATTTTTACTTTCGATCACATGGGGTAAAAATCTCAAAATCTGTCCTATACCAGCCACACTGTGGCATTTTTATGCATATTGCTAGGATATAAGGATAAAATTTCCGGAAAATTTTTCCTTCTACTTTCTATGGTAATTTCTATAAATATAGTAAAACCAGATGTATCGACATTTCTATGCCGACGACAGAATGACGTCATTTACAATGTCATGATTATTATGGGTAGAAACCCTATTCAAGTTAAGTAAATTGTTGTCTTGCTATTGTCACCACATTGTTATGGGTGCACAGGAGTTTGATAATTTCAAAATTCTTCATGTGGACGCCTCAAAATGTTTTAAACCATGTGTGATTTTGGCGTTGACTTTTTTCTAGGTCGGGTCCTTCGGATGAGATCTTAAAAATCAAGGCCCCCTTGTCACGGTAGGCGTTGACACGATAATTAACCCTCACTGCTCAATGGCCCTGAGTGCCAAGTAAAGGTTTAAATTTGAAGACCTTCACCGGTATATTTTGACGTCCCTATTATATGAGTGAAAAATTCTTGAACGGTACGTACAACAGCATACAATGAATCAATCCTCTAGGTCTGTTCAATCTTGCTGTGTGCGATCGCCATAAACGGAATTGTTTGTTTGTTTAACATCCTTTTCGAGAAATTTTCACTCACACTGAGGTCGCCCGCGTGGCGCTGTGGTTAGAACATTCGCTCTAGAGTCGCGGAGTAAGGAGTTGATCCTTACGTCGCGGGTTCGAATCCCACTGTGGGACATGGAGACTGGTCTTTCGGATGAGACCGTATAAACCGAGGTCCCGTGTCGCAGTAGGTGCTGGCACGAAAAAGATCCCTCACTGCTCAATGGCCCTGAGTGCCGAGTATAGGTCAAAAATTTCAGTGTAGCTCTCCACCGGCAACTGGTGGCGTTTCCATATGAATGAAAAATTCTCGAGAGTGACGTTACACAATTAACAAACAAACAAACACTCATATTGAGACGCCTCCACTTACCTGTGGAGGGCTGCAAATTTGGGCGTATACTCGGCTCTCAGGGCCATTGAGGGAACTTTTTCGTGCCAGTACCTAATGTGACACGGGACCTCGGTTTATAAGGTCTCATTCAAAGGACTGATCTCCACGTCCCACAGTGGGATTCGAATCCGCGACGTCAGGGTCAACTCCTTACTTTGCAAGTTTAGAGCAAACCACTGTTCCATGCTGGCGACTTAACATAATTGAAGAGTGTTTATAGTGAAATAAATGATACTAACCGCGGATTTCATAATGTTATAGCTACTTTTTAAAAAAGTAAAGGTACATTTGCATGTTTTCTGCATGTTTCAGATGCTTTCTCCGTTGAAAATACCAGGAACAGCTCAGCACTATCTAGAATGTCAATCTGAAGAATGTAAAAGAAACTGTGAATTTTATTGTAACACTTGCCATTTACAATTATGTAAGCAATGCAGAGACGAACATCTAAGGGCTCAAGAAAATAAAAACCACGATGTTGTCATTTACCAAGAACGCACACGAAAACCTCCTCTCCAGAAATGCGAGATCCATCCAACCAAAGATACTGATATGTTATGTGAAGAATGCCAAGTATCGCTATGTTCCAAATGTGCCACATCCCAGGATCACAAAGGTCACAGCTTCACTGACCTTGAGAAAATTCATGCTGAAAATTTAGCACTTTGGCAAGTGGAAATTGACAAAATCTGCGAATATTTTATCCCCACGTCACAAAGTTTGCAAAATGAAGTAAGAGATGATGCAAAGGAAATAAAGAAGATCATGAATAACATGAGAGAATCATTAATTGTAGATGCTGATTCACTTAGGAGCTTTGTGGATGCAGTTGTTACCAGGAACATGAAGCAGATAGACCAGATCGAAAACTCGTTGTTAAAAGATATAGAAACCCAGGAAGATACATTCACTAATTACATCACTTATCTCAATGACCTTGTCAAAGAATTCAACTGGTACTTAACGAACAGGAAAAAATTGTCAGAGGTCATGAAAATTCAATCAATTCCATGTGTGACAAAACCGGTCACACCGGCATATATTCCCCGGAAATGCAATATAGAAGATGTTGCAAAATTACTTGGTGAAATAAGGTTCCCTGAAACAAAGACAGAAACTAGAAAAATAAAGCCAATGAAAATGGCATCAAGCACAGAGCAAAGCACAATAGAATACCTAATAAATAATGATAAGTGTAAACAAGCAGACAAGAAACAAACAATATCTCCATCTTCCTCCATCATAAAAATAAGGAAGTTTAATATACATGGTGCTTATGGTGCACTTCATCTCTCACTGAATAAATCAAATCGAATTTGGGTCAATGATTGGGATGGAAACCTTGTTCAAATAGATCTACATGGGAATCAGCTACAGAAAATAAAAACAAGTCCAAGATCTGAGGGCTTCCACACAGTTACAGTGGACGAGGATCTAATCTTCACGGACACAGTCAAAAAAGCCATCAGAAGAATGACACAGAATAACAAAAGCACTTCATTCATTAAAACAGGAGACTGGAAACCAGTCAGTATATACTCCTCCCACATCAACGGGGATATACTGGTGGGAATGGTAAAAGATAAAGAGGCTAGAATTACCAGGTACGACAAGACAGGAAAAGAAATTCAGAACATTCAGTGGGATAGCAATGCACAGGAACTGTTTAGTTCTCCATACTTTATAACAGAAAACCTGAATGGAGATATTTGTACTTCAGACTTCAGTAAGCAGAGGGTTGTGGTTGTGGATGAAGCAGGAAAGCTTAGATTTTCTTACAATGGAAACCAAGAGTCGGTGTTCTTTCCCAAAGGAATTTGTACGGATGTCCTCAGCCATATCCTAGTGTGTGACTATTACAGTGATTCTGTTCACCTCATTGATCAGGACGGTCAGTTTTTGTCTTTACTCATAACGAGACGCGATGGGATAAAGTCCCCGTGCAGTTTGTGTGTAGATGATGAAAACAACCTTTATGTGGGAAAACTCACCAAAGGCATAACAGTGTACAAGTATCTCCAGTGATTTTAATCTAATTAGTGATACAATGAAATGGTTTAATTTTTATTATGCAAGGTGTTCTTTGAAATACTTCATCAACATTTTAAATGCAAACGAACAAATGCTTCTTTACACTTTCTTAAGTGCAAATGAAGTTTTTAAAATTCTATAGGTAGTTTTATAGTTACCTAAATCTAATAAATGGTACAAAAGCTTGGCCTTTCTAAGTAAAGTTAGATTTTTCGCTCTCTGTTTTCATTCTGTCGACAGAAAAAAAAAAAACAAAAGAGAGAGATGATTTACACTGGGGCTCGGCATCCTATATGCGTATAAAGGCATGAAGCTTTGTAGTTCATGTACCTCAGGAATTTTCAAAAATTAAATTCATATCTTATTTCACATTATTTTTCTGATGACTTTCCACATATTTTTGTCATTCAATGATCATTTTTGGAGAAAAAAAAATTCACTATTTTTTTCTTCAATCACATCACAATTGAATATTCTTACTCGTCCCACGGTAGTTCATGAGAACATGAACTTTTTCTAATTTGCAAAGAATCTGAAATAAAAAAATATTTGGAATATATATATATATATATATATATATATATATATATATATATATATATATATATATATATATATATATATATATATATAAATAAGGACAAGAGATCATATTTCAGATAAATGTTGGGAAAATTTGGAAAATACGTATATAAAAAAGTGCTTATGAAATATGAAAGATTTTTGTCTAATATAATTGATTACATCCAAAAAGTGATACTATACTATAAGTATGAATACCAATTGTTGTGTTGTGTTGGAACTATACGCGAACAGCGCGTGGTTCATGAAATGAAGCTGAACATTAAAATGAAAGGAATAGTGTTAATTTCTGTATGGTGAACATTTATCTGAAATATGATCTCTCGTCCTTTATCAAATCACGACATTGTTGATCACGAAACATGTGACATGTTTTTATAAATCTAGGGGAAAACTGGTAATTCTGTGTATTCTGTTTAAAAGTTATACAACCTGTTCAACATGCTAAAATCGTTGTCATTCTTCTTTCTATCTCTCTGTTTTGCTTATGGCAATGAGTCATGTGGTCGGAAGGAGATGGAAGACACAATATGCAGCCTCTGTGGACAAAGAAGTGGAAGTCAAACAACAGGATCTGGTACTTTCTACATGTACTCTTATGTCTTATAAGAAAACTGTTTTTATTCATTATTTACATCTCTTAACATCTTGTGATCTTACTTGTTATTATGTTGCTTATTTAAGCTTACTTACATCATTTATTTTTCAATGCCTAATATACAGGGCTGCGCATTAATATCGATATTCCGGTATATTGCGATTCGTTAACAAAAGATATCGTATTGCCATACGTTTTTCCAGTACCGATATACCGGCGAAATGATTGGGCTTTAGATTTATGAAGTAAAATATGAAATTTAAGATGTCAGAAACGTTTTCAATCGTGCCAAACAGTACTAAACTGTAAAGGTTTCTGTTGTATGGTTGTATTTCGTTGCCAAACTGTAGTGAAATCAAATTGAACTTTTTTGTTACAACGTATTTATAAATGTTTTATACACTCTGCTATAAAATTTCTACGTGGAAAAGTGACCCCCGGTCAATATTCTACTGCAAGTAGAGTCATTTTTCGACCATAGAAAACCCTTCCAGGCCGGTAATTCTACTACTCCACACACGTTGAAAAATGACCCCCATAGAATTCTGACCCCCTACTTTTTAACTATGTTATATAATACAAGTAAAAACTTGATTAATCCAGATGTATAATCCGAAGTCTTGCTTAATACGATGTTAACTTTAAGTACATTTCAGTAAATTAAGATCATGGGAAAGTATTGCGTTATTACATTGCGTTATTACATTTTGCGTCGAGATCAACGCAAAATGTAATAACGCAAAATGTAATAACACGATTTTTGGATTAATACATTTTGCGTTTTACATTTTGCATCGAGATTAAGCAAAATGCAACAACGCAAAATGTAATAACACACTTACATTTTGTAAAAGTCAGTCAGGTTGAGAATAATTTTCAAGTGAGCAGTGGATGAAGAAAATAGATAAAAAAATTAAACAAAAGGAAAAATAAACATATACTAATTCTTTCATTAGATCTGATTTTATCATATATTGATTTCATTAGCCATTTAAAATCAGTTGATAACCAAATCATAGGTATTGCAAATAAGTATTTGTGTTGGGGGGGGGGGGTATTTCGTTGATCAGTGTATCAGTTTGCTTTTGCTGTTTGATAGGCACATGCCTGAAATTTAGAAAAGAAATCTATTTATTTTTACTGGAAGGTGTAAATATAGCGGGAAGGGGGTTTCTTGACAATTAAGATTTCATACTATTTTACAAGTCATGTGCATCATGAGCAAAAATAAAATTCTCTCTCTCTCTCTCTTCAACAATAAAACGGATAGTTCCTACATGTGCATAAAAATACAAGGATCAACATACGAGTAACCCCTTCCCACCACTTCACCTCGCTAGACACAAACACATGCACTTCTAATTTGCTAACCAATGTACACATGCACGTCGTGCATGCATATCAAGAGCTTTTAATGGACCCATGGTTAATCTTTGGTAATTAAGAATGTCAGAGATGGATATATAATACAGACTGATTTATAAATAGACATGCCAATCAAAGTTTAAGTATTCAACAAAAATGTTAGAAACACCATTAAAAATAAACAATTGGATTTAGTAATGTCCGTAAAAGCCGTAACGTTAAACTTTGTCTCATGGTCATAGATACATGTATGTGTGTCTATTTATTGAAGCGAATTTCTACGTCGAAAAGTGACCCCCGGTCAATATTCTACTGCAAGTAGAGTCATTTTTCGACCATAGACTTTTTCATAATCCAACATTCTGTTTTATCTATTGGTAATTTTTTTTATATGTAACTAGAAAGGGGAAAGACGATACTACCTTATTTAAACTTTTGTCAATTCTTGGTATACCAAACACCTCTTTTTTTAAGCAATCAATTTTTTTTATGTAAAAAGCCTCATTGTGTTAAAGACTTTGTTGATATTAAGAAAAGACAAAAGACATTGGTAAAGATTTTGAGCTAATCACTTTTTGTGCCCCTGATATCGAAGGTCAGAGGCATGTTGATTTAGTTCTGTGTCGTTTTAATTTTTCACAAATTTAATCTTTCCTATATTTTTATGAGAAAGTTTGAGACTTTATTCATAGAAAATCAAAGGTATTTACGAGATCGAATTTTCTTATCAATCTTCCATTTTTTCACGCAAATTTATTTGGGTAGGATTCCATTAATCTATCTTATAACTTCTAAAGAAAGAAAGGAAGACTATATTTTTTATTTGTTTCATATTATTTTCCCAGAATAAAATCAAAGAGGATTACAATTATGGAAGCTATACATTTTTTATTTATATGTGTCTCTTTCTTACACCGGCTAAGAAAATGATATTGATTTTTTAAATAATTACACTGTGAAAAACAAATCAAAGAATGTACGACCATGTATTCTTGCTCTAATAGTGATAGAACATCATTATAGCCTTGTTAGGCTTTCCCTTAAAGGGGATAAAACAGCTTGTATTATTAATGTAAAGTATAGTATAACCTTTTAATTTTGTCATTTAAACTTCAACGCTTTAAGAAATGAACACTTTATATCATAAGGCTGCTTGATTTAACCCCTGTGAATTTGCCTAACAAGAATTTTCCTACCAAAACCATTCAGTTTTTTTTTCTTGTATCAAAAAATGACACGGGGTCATTATTCTACAGGGTCATTTTTCTACAATCCACATGGAGAAAAATGACCCTAAGGCCATAATTTCTACAAAAAGTAGGTCATTTTTCTACGTAGAATATTGACCAGGGGGACAAATTTCTACGTAGACAAATGATCCCGGATCAATATTTTACGGGGTTCACTTTTCGTCAAATTCTCAAATTCACTTTCAGTTTTAAAACAAATTGAAATATTTTACTGAAGTCCCTTGGACACTTCACAGACAATTGTCTTCGACTCCTTAGTTTTTTTTTTTAAAGCATATTATTATTATATTATATTTTCTGAAAGAGGATCGCTAAATTTATCACTGCTTGAGAGATGTAATCTTTTATTGTAAACTTAGTGACGTCAGCTGCTCTCGAGAGTTTTCATTTAACCAAAACGATAAGTATTGCGGGAAAATGCACGAGACCTCTAAAGAGAAAGCATACAGGGAAATATGAACTTTTATGGCCCTGTCACGTGACTGTCTGGAAGCAATCAAATAACGTGTTGTATAGAATAATTATAATGAGGTATAATAATTTGTTTTAAATCTCAACGGTATAAATTGAATGTGTTGAACACGTGCACCAGTTCTGATGTCGCTGTAAAATTACGTCGATCTTTTTCTTTTTTTTTTTTAACTTTACAATGAATTTATGGTCAGGTGACGAACCCTTTTAAATACAAGTACGCCTTGTTCAAAAAGTGTTATATATTGGAAAACATTTGCATACGTAAATATATTTGACTATAAATGACAATAAATTGTGGATTAATACTGTTTTTTTCTTCAGGTAAACAAATTGCATTTTATGCGTATATGTCCAATAACGTTCAGATCAAGACATTATCCAAGCACAAAATATTTGTTTACGATCGTGTTGAGACAAACATTGGAAACGGATATGACGCCAAATCCGGAAAGTTCATAGCTCCAGAAAGCGGGGTTTACGTCATACACTCAACTACTGTTTCGTACGATAGATCCTACAGCATCATAGAGATAGTGCAAAATGACGTAATTAAAGACATAGCGCTTGCTGATTCCTACAGTCATGGGGATAGAGACTCCTCCTCTACATTAACCATTTTGAATTTAAAGAAAGGAGATGTTGTGAATGCCAGAGTCGGTCCGACGTATGGAGGACATTACCTAGAGAGCAACATATATGCACGAATGAGTTTTTCCGGATTTAAACTTATGTAAAATAAATAGTCTGGAAATAAATTGGTGTAATTGAAAATGACCATTTAATTAATCTGAATCAATGTACAAGTTACTAAAAACGAAATACGAGGGATGTTCAATAAATTATGTCCTAAACTCTATGACATACAACATAAAGACCATTTGACATTAACCATGGCTTTCTCTCATGATTGAATCTTTAATAAACTGATAACTGTTTATGTGACCACGTTTCATTGTGAGAAGCTGGAAAACAAGGATTATTCGAGACACTACATTAAAAATGTATGATAAAGAATCAGTAAACAAGAGTGAAGTTAGAAGCTTCATTAAAGCTGATGTAAATCTTGGTAAGAATCCCAAAGAAATATTGACTGAAATATGTGATGTTTACAGCAACCATTGTTTGTTTTATAGACATATGAGCAGGTGAATTTCAATGATCCAAAATGATAAAAATAGGACTAGCAACAACTGTTGTAATGTTTGCAAAAATTCAACAAATTATTACTGATGATGTTTGATTGACTTTAAGACGCAAAGCAAATTTTGTAAGCATATTTTGGGGGGTATTTCACACTGTTTTAAAGAAACATTTGGCACTAAAAAGCTAAGTTCTCAATGGTTACCCTATGTTTTGACAAATGAGTGAAAACGGCAGCGTGTAAAAATATCCAAACAATTTTAAAAAATGAAAAATTGTAGTTATCCACGTTTGTCCGAAATTCTAACAGGTAATGAAACCTGATTCCATTGCTCTTAACCCCAAAGAAAAATTTACAGCAAGACGCACTTGATAAAAAAAAAGCAAGGTCTTGGAAGGGCAAAGAATTGCCAGAGCACAAGGAAAGTTTTATATGCCATTTTCTTCAATAGTAGTGGTCTTGTTGTTCAGATTCTTATTCGGAAAGGCGGTTCAATTTCTGAACGAGTATAGAAAGCACAATTGTCGCAAAAAATTCAAAAGGTTAATGAAAGGAAGGAACCAGAATAAGGAATCTGCTATATTAACTTTCTTCATGACAACGCTCCGACCCACACATCATGAATAGTAAAGGAGGTTTTTTTTTAGATAAACAGAAATTTAATGTTTTGTCACACGAACAGTATTTGCCATATCTTTCACCTTTCGAGTTGGTTTTTTTTTTCCAAACTTGAAAAAAAAAAACGCCTTTCAGAAAGAAGAAGCAAGTTCAGAAAATCATAGGATATGTTATATTCCAGTATACGAAGGGTATACTCAAAAATGTGTTTTAAAAAACAATTAGGAATTGGATAAAAAAAAGTTACAGTCATGTGTTTCAATTAAAGGAGAGTATTTAAGGAAAGTCATCAAGACAAAATCATTGAAAAGTGTTTTTTTTTTCTTTCCGAACACCGAGGTTATAATTTATTGAACAGCCCTCGTACATTATACCTTTAAAAAATTTTCAAAATTGTCAATACAGGCATTGTAAGACATATGCTGAGTTCTGCAATTTGCACCAACGGTATTCTATATACAAAGAATAAGACCATTATAAACCGATTCGCTGGATGATCAATTAAGTGAAATGTATATGTTAAAAAATGCTGGGTTCTGAGTGGCAAATCTAGAGCTCTATAGTGATTCATATACAGGAAAGAGGATGGAATCAAGAGAAAAAGATCTTGCAGAAATGCCTGGTCTGTAAAACCCAAGTGCAGACTTTCTTTTTCATTTAGCATATGCATATTGCATCTTAAATAGTAACTGAAAATATATAATTGCTACAGGCCTTGTAAATGGCCAAAATTAAATTATTCAGTTGTGCCATAGGGCTTTTTTCAAACCGGATTCTAACTTCATTTCCTTAAATCAAAACAGAATCATTATAGGCTCAAATCATTCATTCAGATATTTCTCTTCGTACGAAGGCATAGTTCCTATACCGGAAGTACACATATATAGAAAAAGAGGAAAGTATTATTCTGAATTTCTCTCTTGTACTCATGGACTATCAATAACCGTCAAAACTGGAATAAATGACGTCCAATATTACATGTACAAGTGACTGTAGAGTCTGTTTGTTATAAAATCTGCTTGAGTATCGTCCATATGTTTGGTAACGTCGAAAACTCACTCAATAGAAACAATCTGATTCTAATGTTGAAAGCCTGGTCAGATTGATTTGATTGATATGTGGCGGTAAGACGGGTTCGATCGCCGATGGCTAGATAGCTTAGTTGGTAAAGCACCTGACTGGAGATTCAGGGGGCCCGGATTCGAATTCCGGTCTGACTCGTCCCATTTTCTCCTTTCCCGTTAAATCTGGTGCCGTGCCATGCCCTGGAAGGGACAGGTGAAAGACCTGCCAGGGAAGAGCCTGGGTTTGTGTCTTCGGGGACCGAAGACCTTTAAGGAGGGAAGAATGTGGCGTTCAGACGGGTCGATCGCCAGTGGCCAGATAGCTCAGTTGGTAGAGCACCTGACTGAAGATTCAGGGGGCCCAGATTCCAATCCCGGTCTGGTCCCTCACGTTTTTCTCCCTCCCGTTACACTTATATCTAGAGTGTTAGCTCAGTGCTCGATTTTTATGAATATCGTAAACAATATATGACGTCACGTGCGTGCAAACGCATAAGTAAAATTCATTTGGGGGGATGTGATTCATGAGGTTTTGAACTGATTTTCAATACCTTTTTCCTGGTGTTGAATTAAATATCAATATTATTTGTTTCAAAGGAATATTTTTGGATTCTTTAGCTTTGTTAAAACCGAGTAACTTTTTATTGTTCACTTTCTAGAACGTGGTCTTATAAAAAAAGTTTATTTATTAAATGTGCCCTGATTTTGATATATTGAAGCTTTTCTCATACACATTGCCACAGACAGAATATACTTAAAAGAGACATGAGTGTCCAATGGAAGGCCAAATAGAAGAAATAAAAGTTAGAATTGCTGAGCCTTTAACATGTACAAATGTAGCTATGGAGCAGAAATCACCTGTGTATCTAAAAACAGTAACAAAACCTATGAAGCTTATTCTTGTAGTTAAATTTTTCATATCCCACATTTTGTGTTTGTTGTCATGTTTATTATTATGGAATAAAAATCGACTAATAAAGGAGAACAATTAGTACATCGAAATTCCAACAGATTGTTAGAAGACCTGGACTCCAAAGACTACATAGATTTTGTCAATGAGGAACTCAAGCATCCCTTTAATATCAAATCAGAGTATCCGAATAATTTTCAACAAATGTTCGTAGATGACCAATCAGAAGATGAGAATTTCCTAGTTCCATTTTCATTGAAGAAGCTGTTGGCTATAATACCAGTATACGAAGGGCATTTTCTTTCACTTATCGTGATGAATAACTATAAAGTGTTCAAAGAGTTTGAAAATAACCCTTCGATATGATGTTACTGATTGGAAAAAAAATTGTGATTTGAATTTTCAAAAAGTTGTTTGGGAAACTGACTAAAAGTTTTCCAATGCTTAATTCCTGTCCAAAGCTAGTTTTTTTTTTTATTTTCCTACAGCAATGCATCTAATGATTTCCCTGATTGATTTTTGTTTGTGTATTGTTGTTTAACCTCCCTCTTGAGAATCTATACTCAGCACTTAGGGCCATTGAGCAGTGAAGGATCTTTTTCGTGCCAGCACCTACTGCGACACGGGACCTCGGTTTATACGGTCTGATTGAAGCTGTAAAGCAATTGGTAAAATTCCCATGAGCTGAGAAAAGTTTCTTCCTCTGAAACTTATATCCCTGAAACGTCTCTACAGTTTCATTAAATAGAATCAGCAAAACAAATTATAATGCTACTTATGTAATGTGCCTTGAAGACACAGTTAAACTCCATAGGCCTTACAGCATGTTTGGATTTGGATGTTTGCTTGTTCACAACACAATCAAATTTACCAAAGCAAAACTGTCAATAACTGGTTAGCTCTTTCCATAACCAAACAGCTAAAACTAATGGAAACAACTAAAGAAAATCAAGTCTTTTAAATCATTATAGTACTTCCAACTTAACTGGCAGTTAAACTGCTTTATGACATCAATAGTTACACAAAAAGTGCATATTGTACAGGTTTTTATCTTATTGGCAATTGAAAAGTTCGAACTTCCTATGAATAATGAAAAGATATGTAAATTATTTACAGTGTAATGAATACAGGTACTTGAAATTAAATTTGAATTATCATTCATCATGTTAAGTTTCGAAGGGGTGGGATGTATGTTTATGAAAATAGTTGCAAAGTTTCGTATTTTTATTTTTGAAAACCTCCAAAAGTAATGGTAATGCATTACTTTGCTAAAGTAATGGTAATGTAATGCATTATTTAAGAAATTGAAGTAATGGTAATTTAATGTCCAAATTCTTAAAGAAATGGTAATGTAATACATTTCTTTACAATATAATTTGCCCCAAGACTGATTGCAGGGATATTCTTCCAATTATCAATTGTTTGTTTCTTACTATATTTTTGACAGGTAATCATATATAACCCCATAAAGTTTAAGTACCAACCCAATAGGTAAAATATGCAGCTTAGCTAAAAGCAGGCCATAATTCTACACAAATTAACTTCCTCTGCATTTCGTTAATCAGGTGATCTCAGTGTTCGTTGCATATGTCAACGTTTCTGACATAGCATGCTCTCTAGGCCCATAGTATTGTAACCTTAGCTAAAAGCCCTGCAGGGTGAAACTTTGTTTAAATGACTGACTGTTTATTTGGTTGTGGTAGCCTAGTGGAAGGGCGTTTGATTCGTGATCGGGAGATACCGGGTTTGATTCGATTTGTGGTCCGTCAAAGCCCGTTTAACTTTATCATATTGTGATATCAATCTCTCAAATACGATTTACTTTTAAACTCATTTACGAAGAAGGAGCCTTCTAAAATTTACTAAAATTTAGAGTTACAATGTATTAGAGTACTTTTGATAAACACATCAAGCTTTCCCTAGTGGAAGATGGGGAGCATCAAACATGGCTTTTTAAGCTTTCACTAACAAACTTATATCTATTTACTAATGAAAGTGTAA